ATGAGTACAATCCCAAGAACACCATCCCAACCGTGAAGCATGGGGGTGGAAACATCATGCTTTGGAGGTGCATTTCTGCAAAGGGGACAGGACGACTGCACCATATTGAGGAGAGGATGGATGGGGCCATGTATCGTGAGATTTTGGCCAACAACCGCCTTCCCTCAGTAAGAGCATTGAAGATGGGTCGTGGCTGGGTCTTCCAGCATGACAATGACCTCAAACACACAGCCAGGGCAACTAATAACCGTGATGTCATCTGCAAACTTGATGATGGTGTTGGAGTCATGCACGGGCCTGCAGTCATGGGTGAAAAGGGAGTAGAGGAATGGGCTCAGCACACAGTCCTGTGGTATGCTGGTGTTGAGGATAATGATGGAGGAGCAGGTGTTGTTTGATCTAACATGCTGAGGCCTGTTGGTCAAAAAGTCCAGAATCCAGTTGAAGATGGAGGTGCTGATGTCCAGGTCCCCAAGTTTAGTGCCTAATTTGGAGGGGGATGACCATGTTAAATGCTGAGCTTAAGTCCACGAACAGCATTCTTGCGCAAGTATTGTTATTGTCCAGATGTCTGAGTACAGAGTGCAGTGCCATGGAGACTGCTATTCCTATGGTTGACAAATTGGTGGGGGGTCCCAGTTGGGTGGGAGACAGGTCATTAGGTGCGCCAGGACCAGGTGCTCGAAGCACTTCTTGATGATGGGTGTGAGTGCTACAGGGTGGTAGTCATTCAGGCACGTCGGGGTGGAATGTTTCGGCACTGGCACAATGGAGGTGGTTTTGAAGCACATCAGCACAACTGCTTGGGCAAGGGGCAATTTGAATATGCCCCCTAAAGCCATGATCCCACCCTCCCTGACAATGAATAGTTTCTTTGCACGCTTCAATACACCCGGCAGCAGAGGAACTTTACAACTCCCTCAGCTTGAGGAATAGCACCAGCCTCTCGTCCTGCAGCTACAACAAGTGAGCTCCACCCTCCACCCAATGTTTTCCTGGACATTTTTAACCTGTCCCTGCATCTTGCTTCAGTCCCTGTGAGCCTCAGGTCCTCCATCATTGTGCCTGTGCCCAAGAAATCAGCTGTCACCTGCCTCAATGATTACCTCCCTGTTGCCCTGACACCAGTAAAGTCATGAAGTGCTTTGAGAGGATCATCTTAAAGCACATCAAGGACGTCATCCCTGTTGGTCTGGACAGACATCAGTTTGCTTACAGAGAGAACCGATCAACAGAGGATGCTGTTGATCATAGAGTGCACATAAGCTGCAGCCGCCCCCAACTAATAACAACCCCATCCACTTTCCAACATGGCAAAACAAAGGAATCACTCACCTTCATCACCTATTTGAAAACAACCAGCTTACACCATTCAACTGAATACATTAGTCCAGAAGTATGGAGTTGGGAGAGGAGACTTTCTCCAGTACCAACAGTTAAAATCCATAAATAAATCAAAGATCAACCCACTACAACCTTCAATGCTAATTGAGGACATAATGAAAATTACAAACTCAAAGAAGATAATGTCTAAAATTTACATGCTAATGTCAAATACAGATAGAACAATAACAAGACCAATGACTAAATGGGAAAAGGATGTGGCACTACACCCCCGCCCCCCAGCCTCAACGTCTGGACCAAGATCTGTAATAATATCTTCTCCACGACTACCAATATAAACTTATAGCTTATACAATATACAGTAAGACTATTCACAGGACTCACATCACACAAGGTAAAAATGAAAATGGGTTTCACTGACACAATGCACTCTGAGTCACGCCACTGATTACATCCATGCTATTTGGACCTGTCAACCTGTTTACTCCCTCTGGGTAGCAGTGACAGAGAAACTCTCCACCATATAATACATCACTGCAGTGATAAGATAGGTGAAATTATGAGGGACTATGCAATAGTCAACTGAGGTGCAATATTCAAATCCTGGGGTAAAATGCATTGTAAATATGCACATGTAAAATCTTGTCCTTGATTTCTCTCGAATACTTTATATTGTCTTGTTTTAGGTATTTTGAGTAGTTTTTCAGAGATCCTCATGGCTGAAATACAGGTATTTTCCCTATTGTGGGATTAATTATGGGAGTAATATTCTTGTGCTTGATTTCTTGATCTCTTGAATACTATATTTTGCCTTGTTCTTAGGTATCTCGATTTGTTCTCAGGGATTAACTGTGGGAGGATCATTCTTGTTCTTGATTGTCTCTCAAATACTCTATTCTGTTTGGTTTTAGGTACTTCGGAATCTGTTTCTCAATATACTGTATGTGTGTGGTGTTTGTTCCTATGGCGTTTTGTTGCTTGCTCTCTATTGCTGCTGGAACACAGGAGTTTCCCCATTGTGGGATCAATAAAGTCCTACCTACCTAGATAATAGAGACAAATGATAAATGGTGCAAACAACACAATTAGGTCTGTGTCACTACTATCACATGTAACACCTGGGGCTGTATGCATAAATGATCTGTACACACAAAACCAAAACTTGTATATATAAATACAGAATGTGCGGGAAGGATGTGCATACCTTATGCGCAGACCACGCGTACACGCGTAGGTGTGTTATCATGAAGCAGAACAGCTAGCATTATTCTTAGCCACATATACTTCTGTTCATAAAGTGAATTTTTAAGCACAATGTTTATGTTGGCCTAATGAATTATTTTTATTTCTTTTGCCTTAATGTCATATTCCTGTTTTTCCAGCAGTACCATGTGTAGTAGTCGGTCTCTTTCCTGGGAAATCTGCTCAGCCACAGAAATGACAGCTCCCAGGTCATGCTGAGTCTTTTCCTCTTTTAATAAACATTCTTCCTTCTGTTGCTTCAATACACTCATCCTCCTTTCAGCCTTCCTGGATGACAGAGTGACAGCAGAGTAGACAGGAGAGTGGTAGAGTAAAAAGATTGGGGAAAAAGAAAAATAATGAGATGAAAAGGAAAGAAAAGTGGCAAAACACAGGAGGACAAATATAGCAGAGAAGGAACGTGAAAAGAAAGTGTAGCAGAGATTAAGGGAAAGAAATAGGGCAGAATAAAAGATAAAAAAACAAGGAACAGAAGACAGACAAAGAGTTAACTGGAGGATATCTTGAGATCCTGTCATCTTGATGCAAACAAGGTGAAAACACTGTTGCCTAATCAAACACCTTTTGACAATCTTCACACTTCAGAATGAGAATGTCCACATTAATAACAGCTCTGGTCTACAGGGAGCAGAGGAAGGTTCCAGAGGAAAAGCCTTTTTTTTTTTTTTTGAAGAACTCAAATCCCTGACAAAGACAAAAGATGCACTAAAAAAATTATCTGAGCTATTATAATACTTGTATTTCTGTTACAAAGCCGGTGTAAACCTCCGCTGTACATTATGGGGACTGAAAAAAGTGGTTCTGATCATGGTTCTAGCTGTCATGCTACTGACCTTTCCTACAAGAAGAGAAGAAGCCAACAACTGAAATGTCACTTCAGAATAAATTGTGCATAATAATCTGGGGATTTAAAACAGTTTGATTTGATTCAGTTGTTGCTAGCTTGATTTAATTACTTTTTTTATTGGATTAGATTTTCTATGTCACACCATGATTGAGTAATTAGTAGCCAAAATAGGCACTGCACACCCACACAGGTGTTTTATTTTATCCTGGCTGATTGCAACTTGGCTTAGTCAGGCAGAGCTATGCAAGAAATTTTGCAAAGACACTAAACTGCATGTACTACAAATTAAAAAATTTTTTTATTTAATTTGAGATGTCTTGCATCAACAGGTTCGACAAAACTAACAAGAAAAGTAGGGAGATGTCAATCAAGCACAGTTGGTACATACCCAAGCACTCCTCAGAAGAGCCTTAATCATGCAAATTACTATAAGTGAAAGCAGTTGTGCGGGTGGACAGTGGGTGGGTAGGGGCTTCATAATCACACTCGACCATAGTCATCAACATAGCAAAATGACAGCGGTTTTATTTTATACAATGAAGAACTAAATACCAATCTTAAAATACTTAGAACTGTGTTCATCTAACACTGTTTTCGTCAAAGCGGAAATGCACGTAATAAAATATTAGCTGGACCAATACTGACCACATGATTTAGTCTGGTTGGTGGTAATAGTAATAGCAGCCATAATGACAGAGGCAGTACACTCTTAACCTTAATTTATTCAAGGGAGTTCACTGAAAGCCACACACTATAAACATACAACTACAGACAGATCTGCTGTGTTACAGGAAAGGTTTAAGGGCATTGAACAGGGGCACCACAGTGATGCCAGTGATGGAGGGGCAAGCACTGCTCTTTAACCCACACATAACCTGAGAGTCCAGGGATCATTCCAGTGATCTTCTGGTCACAAACAAGCATTCATACACACACAGTTTTAACACCCGCCAACATTTTTGGACTTGGCCTGCCACTTAACTTCACTTTAGTGTTCAGCTTTGTTTAAAATCCTATTAGGGCATAGAATCTAATTTAACTGACTTTGTGATTACTTAATTGTTCAAACAGTACACACCTTTAGGCAAATCAATCAAGCATTTGTGTGGCATGCACCATGATATCAGACAAAGATCACTATTATTTAGTACCTTTTGGCTTGTCTGGTGATGTCAAGCTCAGTCTCCATTCTCTTTATATCAGCAGTCAGGTTGGCTTTGTCCAGAACCAGACTCCTATTCTCCTCCGACAGGCTGGACAAGAAGCAGCTTGTCCATCTCACTCATGTTCCTACAGTCCTGTTGCTCCAACTGCCTAAGAGCCAAGAGCATACTTTATTGCATATCTGGTATTTGGGAAACACTTTTCAACAAGATATATCCTGACACTAGGTTAATGTACTCCCTCTATCAAATATAGCTAAAAGCAATTACAGCTATGATTCTGCTCTACCACATCAATGTATTCATCACATTCCAGGGCTTCTGTATTGCAACTAAAATATGAATATTTTTGCTACTCTTGCTTGTTCCTACTGTCTTATTCTCATTTCACTTTCGACAACTGAATGAACAAAAAACTGAATTGAAACCTAGATGAGCTGATCTCTTGGCAAACAGCTGGAAAGAAGAAGACTTCTGGTTCTGGACAATACTATGGGAAATGGACACCACTTCATAACAAATGAGAATGTGTCTCATTAATATAAACTGTTCAGTGCTCATGTTCAGTCCTTCTCATTGTTCAAAATAAGACAGAGAAGAGGTGTGTTCAAGTAAGGAGCAAACAAGCAAACAGTTGGTAATACATATTAATTAATATTTTAGACAAAGAAATATTTAATCAAATATGGGATTATAGCACTACCTTCTGAGTTTCCCAGCAATGTTGCAGTGTTCGTCCCATGTGACAGCATCCTTCAGGCGGGCCTGCAGAACTTGGACCTCCCTCATATTTTTCTGCACTTCCTTCCTACTTTCTTCCAGGTCGTCCTGCAAGCTCTGCTTTTCTGCTTCTAACAACATTAACTTCTTAGACACCTTGGATACTACAAAGAGAGGTAAGACAAGAGAAGAAAAATAGTAAAGAGTCTAAATGAAATTAGAGCAGAACAAAGCAAAGGCAGCAGGGAAACAGACTTGTGTGAAAACTTTCCTTTCAGTTTTGGGCTTCTCCTGAATTTATTCTTAAATTTGATCTATAAAGGATTTATTTAATTTTTTTCACTTAGGGCTCTGTTTTCCTTCCAGTGAAATTTCTGTCACTTTAATCGTAGTCATTATGCAATTTTCCTTGGCCAGATCCACTTTTTTTGCACATTGGTGTGCTTAGAATTTCTAGGCCGCCCCTGGTAGGCTAGTGATTAAGGCGCAGCGCTCCCACCGCTGTGGCCCGGGTTCAAATCAGCGTTGCGTCAGGAAGGGCATCCGGTGTAAAACACGTGCCAAATGTCAACATGCGAGTCGTCAATGTGACGATTCACTGTGGTGACCCCTAATAACAGGAAAAAGCTGAAAGTGACTTTCTGGTGTGCTTAGAATTTCCCTTCCATGAATGAATGCACTTACATTGAGGTGGAAGTAGAGGTGCATCTGAGACCATGTGTATGCCGATTAGGCAGCACAGTGCAATTCTGGTGCTCATTATAACCCGAAATAAAAATAACAATAGCTACTGCTCAGACCACTTTTTATCACAATGGCAGGTGTAGCTGCATTTTTCCTGACAAGCGCTTAGGTTGGGAAACATGAGCTCAGGTACCCAAATGTATTTTAATTCATGATTCAAGATTTTTATTTGCCATTTATGCATAAACATACAGTTGAGGCATACAGGAATTCTTGTGCAAGGCTCTCTTGGAGTCAAGTAAAGAGTTAAAATTTCCACACCAGCGTAAAATTAACCCTTATATCCACAACTGCTGGAATTCACTCTGAAATTATCTGTATCATGAAATATGTGTGATAATTTTCGAAAGATTATTTTCAAAGAAGATAAAGTAGTTCTCAGTATGTGACTGTACAGTAAATATGAATATGGTCAAACAGTGCTGGTGCATGTCAGGACACTCATCTGTTCAGCCAGAAGTCATCTGCATTCAGTGTCAATTTACAGAGGTGCACAAAAAACACACAATAGCATCTTATGGGCCAAAATAATTAACAAATGCTCTGCAGACATCCCAATTAATCATGTTAGGCAGCAAGTGAGATTAGTCTGACCTCACTGTGTGCTGCTGTCACTGTTAAAGAGCCAACGGCATGCTCATTTCCAGCCATTTAATGTTTAAAGAGCTCATGTCATGCTTTTTCTTGTTTTTTGACTTATCTACAATATTACAATGATGAATTATCATCTTAGATGTGACCTAAAGTTCAAAAAATTAGGTGTACACATATATTAGTATTTCTATGCAGACGCAACTCAGTTTATACACATCTTGCAAACTCTTGCTCGCGAGACTTTTTTAAACCAAAATCAAATACATAATAGTTTAAGGATCTTCTTGAATGGGCATTAAATCCAGGCTGTTGCACGTTCATGTGAGCTTGCCTGACATCCACCTGTGCCCCCATCATACTAGCAAAATTATTTTGCCATTGAGGCAGTTATTTTGTTTATGTTATTATGTTTCCAATGACATTCACTCACAAGAATAGTTTATCAGCTTTTAATGACACATGGAACCCATTTTTAACCTGGAGCTGAGGCCACGCACATTCCCACCAACCTCTAAAAATTTAACAAGCTGATTGTATTAGTAGTATCTTATCATCATTATTATTGGTAATTTTTTATTTATTTATTTATTTTCCCTCCTTTTCCCTTTCTTGTGTTTCATAGAACTTTCCACACTTCACACTCTACAGTCTTGTAAAACACTCTATATCTTTTTGTAGTGTCATGTATCTGTTGTCTTGTCACCCATGTGCAGTTCGTCGTACAGTTGAACAAAGATGTGTAACACTCTAAACAAAGCAGCTAATACTGGAACCCCATATTTTAATTGGCATAATGCAGACATAATCACTTCTCCAGCCTTACAACATTTCTCTACAAAAACAAGGCTTTAACGGGCAGGCACCATGGGGGGGGGGGGGTTTTAAACTTAATGTTACATCCCACTGAGTAGTGGAAACTTCAAGGTCAGTAAATCCAACTGGTGATTGCCAAGTTTCCCCCCACAAATCCCTCGTGTTACAGGCAACCACATACATTCCCAACAGGTAGAATTGCACCGGCAATAACATCATTAGAATGGATGTCAGGCAAGCTCACATGAACTCGCAACTGCCTGGAGATTATGACCAATCAAGGAAATCATGAACTACTGTATTAGACTTTACATAGTTGGAAAAAAGTCTCACCAGTGAGAGTTTGCAAGACCTGTATAAAATGAATTGCTTCTGCACAGAAGTACAACAACACAGGCACATCTCGTTTTTGAGCTTTCAGTCTCGTTTAAGATGATAATTCATCATTGTAACATTGTAGATAAGTCAGAAAACACAGCATGCCATGGGCTCTTTAAGTGACAATTTTGTTTAAGCTACAATTTTACCAAACACATTTCACAAAGACACACCATCATTACTACCATGGGGATATACGTAGTGCCCCTTTTCAGATTTCTTCCCTGCTCTTGAAAGGAGATGAGAGGAGCTGGTTTGATTGGATATAACTAAAGCCTACCCCAACTCCACCTGCTCATGGCGCATGCCTTCTTCTAACAATGTATTTCACCTCTCTTCCACAATGCACCTGGTAACAACTGAATGCACTCAAAACTTGTGCATCTGTGGTCACTAGATTGGCTAAATATTGTTGAGCTCGCCCATATGCACCTTGCAACTGGAATTTAGACATGAGCTTAGCACTTCACCCTATTTCAGGAAAACAGAGCCCTTAATCTTTCAGCATACCTACCTTCAGAGTGGTGTCTGTTCTGGTTAGCCTTGGCCTTAACATGCTGAGCTTCAAGCTGATCAATCAAAACTTGGTTCTCCTGCAAAACGAGAACAGCCTGTTGCTGTAACTGATGACTGCAAATGGAAGAGAAAGAAATAGAGAGACAGAGAGATTAGGTACTATGTTAACAGAACACAAAACCACTATGCTAATAATACGAAAAGAATTATCAGTCAAAAAAACTAATTATTTCACTTGTTACTTATTTCCTTTCACTTTGAAAGTTAGACTCTAAACGTATACGTATAGCTGAAGTCTCTTTTAATATATATTCACTCATTCATATATCCTTATTTCTCTTATAGCTGCAACAACATGTAACGTGATTTTGTTCTTGACTCTGTAATAGATTAAACATTATGCATACTTTATCCTCCTATTTTTGCATGCTGTAATAGTAGAGTACAAGCCTGACAAATCTGTAAAATGAGCATAAAGCTAGGACTGAGAGCCACTTAAGCAACTTGGTTACTTGGCCTGTAAGTACTCAATAACTGGGGTGATATGGTTGTCACCATAATTCCGCCTTCACTTGAAGGTGATGTCATAATCACAAATAACGGGCATTAAATTATTGTTCAGCATTCAGTGATCTGCTCTGTAAGTTGGTCCAGTAGACCTTTTTCACATAAACCGGATAGAGAGAGCCAACATACAAAGCCATTTTTGGCTTATGCTGGCTGATGCAGTGAGCTGTGGAGACTCTTCAGTGAAAGGAAATAAATTACACAAGTGATATAAATTCTTCTACAAGGAGTTTGTGGACAACTACTGAGGTAAATAAAACATATAATGGTTATGCTAGCAAGCTTTAGTGTTAGCTCAGCTGCTGTACACGCTAATGTTTTTCTGTCTTGTGTTGCAATATTTAAAGTTTCAAATGTACTTGAGGGACAGGTTGCAGTCAGAGCTAGCTGCTACAGGTCAGTAAAGTTGTTCCATGAAAACTGGCTGGGGACAACTGTTTTTAAGATGACCGCCACCTGTAGTCCACTGGAGAGCAGTGGCACACATAGATGCTGCCTCTTTATACCATAAAATACGGCCCTTTGTTGCTCTTACACCCATTTTCTTTTAAGTTGTGGGTCCTTTGGGAATGGGTGAAAGGGCAAGTATGGCTGTTTTTGATTGGAATATGAGCACTCAGGTACACTACAAAAACTCTTGTTTTTTTTAGATTCTGCCACTATCCCACCCCTGGCCTGGAACTTGCCCAGCCCATTCTCAGCCACTTCTGGTTGAAAAACGTGAAACTGTGAAAAAGGTCTATTAAGATAGCTTGCCAAATGCACTAAATTTAAATGCTTGCATATGTACAGTATTTAGCATCACTATGCACATGAATTCACACCATTCTTGAGTTGATACAACCATATTAGACTGACAATGTCTCAAATTGCAGCTGGTTCACATAAAATTATCTGACTTGTCAGAGCTACTTACAATGAGCAGATACTGTCTGTAGGTGTCAGACTTACAGTACCCCCCACCCCCACCACACACACACACACACACACACACACACACACACAGTGTATCTCTTCTCACCAATCTTTCTGGTTGACTGCTCCAATTTTTGCTATTTCATCATGGAGTCTTCCATTTTCTTTGATCACCTCCTCTACATGAACACGCAGCCTCTTCACCTGCTCCTGTGGCAAGCAGACAAAGACATTTCAGTGATTTCAGTGATGATAACTTGATTTTTAAACTGAAAAGAGCAAAAAAAATAAATCTTCTATTACCGCTGCCAAGATTATGGATCACCCTTGCAAGGCACTATACTTGATTATAACTAGGACTGGGTACACCAGTGCCCCTGTTGGTGCTATACTGTTACTCTTTTCAATGTCAAGTCAAGTCAGATTTTATTTGTAAAGCCCAATATCGCAAATCATAAATTTGCCTCAGGGTCTTTACAATCTGTATTGCATACAACACCCTCTGTCCTTTGAATCGGATAAGGAAAAAACACACCCAAAAAACCTTTTTGAAAGAACTTTAATTTATTCACCATAAAAATATATTCACTCTTTTGTCATTTTCTTTTGACAGTTGAAATAATGCACTATTTTGACTTACACTTCACAAATAACAATAACAGCTTTATAACATACTTCACTGCATCATACAGTAAATGTATCATCCTCAGTATGGCCCATGTAACATTCTCTGAAAAAATGAGATGACAGGTGATTGAGTGGGAGAAGCAGAAACTCACAAATGTATACACTCACACATCTTACCTCTGTGGATTGCAGAAGTGCATCTTGCTCGTTCAATCTGTCTTCATAGGCCAATAGAAGAGGTGATAAATACTTCATGTCAAGCTACAAAAAAGACAAAGAAAATTATTTGATTAACCTATTCCTCTATAGTGCTTATGGTACTAAAGGCAGGAAAATCACTTTTCAGCCCACAAGAAACAATGGGTGGTAAATCTGAGCCATACCAGGTGGAAATGGTTTTATTTTCTTTATCTAATTAGCTGTTTTCTGGTCACTGTAGAGAGACAGTTCACAGCCTGGCATGATTTAGTCTTTTGAGTAATAAAGCATACTTTGGGAGATACTGTATGTACAAAGGCTTTGCGGCTCATTTCTTGGCAGTAAACAGTGAAAGTGTGTTTGTTCATATTTACTAAGTAGTCGCAATGAAGTTCAAAGAAATAAAACCTTTAAAAAGGAGCACCACAAAAATGTGAGTGTTGAGTCTTATGCAAAATGTATTTTAAAGCATTCCCATTCAGGGGCACTAAAAATAAGAGAGGAGAGAATAGACATCATATATACAAATACCTTCAGCACCTGATTTACCACCACTGTGACAGAGGGAACTGCTGAAAATTACGTCAGAAGAGAGCAGGTGTAAAATTGCTATTAGCATGGCAGCTGTTAGTCATGTGAGACTTCTTAAGGAATTAATAGTGTTTGAGGAGAGAGAGGATGTTGTATGTGCTGGCTGTATGTGAGAGACTTTTACAGGCTTTCAAGTCACATCTTGCTTCAGTTACTCAACAAAATAAAAGATGATTTGACTGACACAAGATTGCAGTTACACACACTGGCCACTCAATTCCATGCATTTAGGCATGTAAGAAAGGTGACTTAAGTGACTTTGAATGTGCCATGGTTGCTGGTGCCAGATGGGCTGGTCTGAGTATTTCAGAAACTGCTGATCTACTGGGATTTTCACGCATAACAATTTCTCCAGAGAATGGTCTGAAAAAGAGAAACTATCCAATGAGTGGCAGTTCTCTGGGATAAAATGCTTTGTTGATGCCAGAGGTCAGAGGAGAATGGCCAGACTGGTTCCAGCTGACAGAAAGGCAACAGTAATTCAACTAACCACTTGAGGTATGCAGAAGAGCATCTCTGAATGCACAACACATCAAACCTTGAAACAGATGGGCTACAGCAGCAGAAGACCACACTGGATGCCACTCCTGCCAGCTAAGAACAGGAAACTGAGGCTACAATTCACAATGGCTCACAAAAATTGAAGACTGGAAAAACATTGCCTGGTCTGATGAGTTTTAATTTCTGCTGCAACATTCAGATGGTAGGGTCAGAATTTGACATAAACAACATGCAAGCATGGATCCGTGCTGTCTTATATCAATGGATAAGGCTGGTGGTAGTGGTGTAATGGTGGGAAGATATTTTCTTGGCACGCTTTGGGCCCCTTGTTACCAAGTGATCATTGTTTAAATGCCACAGCCTACCTGAGTACTGTTGCTGATCATGTCCATCCCCTTATGACCACAGTGCACCCATCTTCTGATGGCTACTTCCAGCAGGATAACGCGGCATGTCACAAAGCTAAAATCATCTAAAACTGGTTTCTTGAACATGACATTGAGTACACCATGCTGGCCTCCACAGTCACCAGATTGCAATCCAAGAGAACACCTTTAGAATGTGATGGCATAGGAAATTCACATCATGGATGTGCAGCAGACAAATCTGCAGCAACTGCATGATGCTATCATATGGTCTATATGGACCAAACTCTAAGGAATGTTTCCCGAACCTTGTTGAATCTATGCCACAAAGAATTAGGGCAGTTCTGAAGACAAAGGAGGGGGAGGTCGAACCCAGTACTAGCAAGGTGTACCTAAAATAGTGGCCGATGAGTGTATGTTTGTTGATTGCTTCAACCATATTAAAGATCAGTCACTGTATTCTTAGACGTTCTTTAGTACTTCCTCTACATTCACACATGCACATACAGGCACCAGATCCTAAGCCCACCACTCTCAACCAGCAGGATGCGGCCCACTGGTGGGCTGCTGCCACAGTCCATCCATCCATTATCTATACCGCTTATTCCTGAATAGGGTCACAAGGAGCTGGAGCCAATCCCCGCTGACATTGGGCGAGAGGCAGGGTCCGCCCTGGACAGGTTGCCAGTCTATCACAGGGGTGACATGTAGACAAACAACCACACACACACACACACTCTCTCCTATGGGCAATTTAGAGTCATCAAACAACCTAAGCTGCATGTCTTTGGGCTGTGGGAGGAAACCGGAGTACCTGGAGATAACCCACGCATGTACAGGGAGAACATGCAAACCTGCTGCCACAGTGGCCGAGTTTATTTATTTTGTGTTGTATTTATGTTTTTTTCTAATTTATTTAGGAAGGTGGTCCTCAGAATTTTTTTTACAATCAAAAGTGGGCCTTAAGTTACAAAACACTGAGAACCCCTGTCCTAAGCGGACGTGCACTCAAATTAAAACTGTGGCTGTGCTGATTTACATCATCAGTGTTGGTAAATACATCACTAAATTGAAAAATTGAAGGGCCACTATATTTTGTGTATCTGATGGTAATCTGCGATAGTAAATATCCCCCTTTCTTCCTTATGCAATTTTTGGTCACTGTGGACGTGAGCTTCCAAGCTATTAGAATGAGCAAACACTCAGTCCATCTCAAGAAGTAGCAAAAGGGATGGAAAAGACCAGGTACATTGATCTGCTTGCCAACCACCTTAAATTAAGAGCACTATCTGAAATCATCATCCAGATGGATGATAAAGTTGGGGCAGCTGTGGCTCAGGAGGTAGAGCAGGTCATTTCCTAACCGGAGGATTAGCGGTTCGATTCCCGGCTTGTCCAGTCAACATGTCGAAGTGTCCTTGAGCAAGACACTGAACCCCCAGTTGCTCCCGGTGATGTGAATGTGTGAGCATTTGGGAGTGTGAATGGCCAAATAGTGTGAAAGCACTTTGAGTGTGCTGTAAAAGCGTAGAAAGGCGCTATACAAGTATAAGACCATTTAAAGTTACTTCCCTATTAAACTAGTCAGCTATTTACTGATTAGCTAAATTTGACTATGAAGCACTATTACATTTAGATTACTGTTCAAGGAAATACACAGCTATGTGCAGTTACTTACCAGCCAGGGAGGAGAAGACCCTGTCTTTGGTAGGCCATTGATTTTGGAGATCTAAATGAGACACAGCAAGAAAGAGAAAGAAGATAATGTCAGTGAGCATACACAGTATGATGATAACAGCTACTGCAGCTTTAAATGTTGTCCATCATACTAAGTACAACTATAAAATACACTGATAGAAGCAGAGGCTTTAAGTACATTATATATGACAAAACCAATATATGTAACAAAAATAATTTTCAAAAATATAGGACACTGAAGATGTTTTACATTTTGCTGTTTCTTGCCTTCAGGTGCTACAGAAATTTCCCAAGGCAACTATTTCTAGCATTATCTATAGCAAAAACATTACCATTTTATTACAACAAAACAAATGGTGAATCAATAGTAAATGGAAATGCTTATGTGACTGATGGAAGCCAACTATTTTAACTTTTTGATCATTAAAAAAGGCATTTTCTGTCTTATTACTGGACTAGCAGAGACATGTTGCTACAGAGGAAACAAACTGGTGGTAAAGAGCAGAAGACCTCCTGATGTGAAGACACAGCATGGGGCAGCCAAGATTAAACCCACAGGGCAACTTTCTTCTGCAGTGTAAAACACTCAACAGCCCAGAATGAACAAATAGCCTCAGAGACAGCCACAGACAGGAGCAAGAAACTCCTTTAGTCCAACAAATCAGAAAAACAACAACAACAAAAAACATTTTTTTTTTATCTTAAAGGCTTAGTGATAAAGAAATGTTTGTTCAGTGTTAAAGCTGTGAAAATAGATTCTGTATAAAAGCTGAATAAATTAGATTAAGGGGAGAGGTGGTAAAAGGACTGCACTACCGCTGTTGGTGAACACAGCAGAGCAGGAGAGTACAATACAACATATACACTGTGTTTCATTTCATTTAGCTTGAGCTGAAAGGAGACAGGCTGATTGATAAGTGAAAAGGTTCCCCACTGAAATTCCACACAAAATGCTCATTATATTTGATACAAATTCACTGAAGAGAGTCAAATATAAGAAATTCAGCAAAATACAAAATAAGGTACTACTCAAAAGCAATCTTAAACAGAAGATGCATTATTTTGTAGCTTGTTATACCTCCTGTTTGGACAATGCTCTGAAGCGGGTTTGGTAGCGGCTCAGCTCCACATTCAGACGGTGCACCGTCAGTTTGAGGGCATCATTTTCATCCACCAGCTCCTGAGCATGTTGCCTCAAGTTTTGTAGCTCTGCTTGAGACCCTGCAGGCACAATACATCAGGTTATTTTGAGACATAAAATACTAATCTTTTTCAGGATAGCATGATAGAATGCACCAGAATACTTTATAAATTTCAAAGTAATATATCGTAAAGAAGAACTGACCGAGTCTAGGGCCTTACAATACTGTGTATAATAGCCATATTCATTATTGTAGTTTCGGGAAGAAAAACTGAGAAAAGTGGAGAAGCAAACTCTAAATTGAAGAAGACTACTGAGTATGGCCGGAGACAGGAGACTTAGTGAGACACTTCATGTAAGCTGCTGGCTGACAGTGAACCTCAACCCAAGAAAGGAAAACAAAATTTCACCCTTCCGGTATAATGACAAGTACATAATCAATGTGTCACTATTAGAGAATAGTGACAGAACCAGTACTTTTTTGTGTTTCTTTTTTGCCAGCCAATCTACCTCTTCTTCTCATTGTGCTGTGAAGCTTAAGGACCAGAGCCATATCTACTGTAACCACAAAACTATCTCCAGCTCCCTCCTTTTACTCTTGCATATGAATCTACTACATCTTCTGTTATTTACTACTTGATTCTCTGTCTTCATCATTTTCCATTATCCCTTTCCCCCTGTTACTCCTTTTTCCACTCTACTCATTTTCTTCCTTCTGTCTCTCTATTGTGGCCCTTCCACCTTACCTGCAGATGACCTCAGGTTTGAGGAGGCTTTGCTGTGACTGATCTCCTGTTCTAGGTGGTGCAGTCTCTCCTCTAGTAGCTTTTGTTCATCAGCCATCTTTGTATTCTTCTTTGGCAAGGTCCGCACTACCTCCCTCACGCCCTCACTGTATGCCTTGCTGAGCTCTGGAGATGGCAGGATGGAGTGTTTTGGATGTATGGCTTGGGCTGGGTGGTCAGTGGTTAAGATTGGTAGTGGGGCTGAAATAGTACAGGTAAATATTTTTAATGGCACTGCACATACATATTCTAAATAGGATAAAAGGAAATGGAAAAGGTAACACAGATATAGCACTTCTTATGATAAAAAAGACAGCAAGAATCTCATGTAGCCAATGAAATTAGTGTGTGAACTGTCAAATACAAAATAAGGTGGTGCCCTAATAGCCAAGTGGTTATGGTTTTGATACCAGTACCAATACTTTGACTTCGATACTGGTTTCTAAATGATACTCTTTTGATACCAATTTTATAAAATCTGTTTAATATACAGTATATAAATACAGGTGCATCTCAATAAATTAGAATATCGTGGGAAAGTCCATTTATTTCAGTAATTCAACTCAAATAGTGAAACTCGTGTATTATATAAATTCAGTACACACAGACTGAAGTAGTTTAAGCCGTTGAGTCTTTTAATTGTGATGATTTTGGCCACATTTAACAAAAACCCACCAAATCACTATCTCAATAAATTAGAATATGGTGACATGCCACTCAGCTAGTCAACTCAAAACACCTGCAAAGGTGTCCTGAGCCTTCAAAACTCAGTTTGGTTCACTAGGCTACACAATCATGGGGAAGACTGCTGATCTGACATTTGTCCAGAAGACAATCATCGACACCCTTCACAAGGAGGGTAAGCCACAAACATTCATTGCCAAAGAAACTGGCTGTTCACAGAGTGCTGTATCCAAGCGTGTTAGCAGAAAGTTGAATGGTAGGAAAAAGATGTACAACCAACCGAGAGAACCGCAGCCTTGAGAGGCTT